TATTCACTTGCAAGGAAACCAATTCACTTAAGAGGTAAATGTCATGTACTTTGGAGCCAGACTGCCTGGGTTTGAATCCCAGTCCCACTACTTACCAGCTGTGTTGCCTTGGGTGAGTTATTTCAATCTCTCTGTGCCTCAGTTTGTCTCTCTGCAAAATGAGGGTAATAACAGTACCTACCTCATGGCATTATTGTGTAGATTAAATGAGGTGATATATATGTAAAATACAGTATTGCCTGGCAAGTGATAAGTGCTGCTAGCTGTTATTATTTTGTAAATTTGGGCTGGAGGAGAGGGGTTTCACACAATGCTTCACATCTGGAATGAGCCAGAATTTGAAGATGATTTTGGGGGGAAGGGCCTCAGCTCCTTAGCACATGAAGGAACACCTGCACCAGACATTCTTGTATTGCTGGTCTGTGGGTGATACAGATTCATGTTCTGAATTTCTCCTGCTGTTGCCTTATGCTGGCGTGGCCATAATTTGGGTAGCTCCGAGAGGCCGTACTTACATAGACACTTACATTAGTGTCTCTTCCCATTACTTACTGTCTCCCCTTCTTCCTTAGGATCAATCCGTGTTTCAGATTGGATGCTCTGCCTATTTTATTTACTCTCTTTCTGCTGTGACCCTTTCCTCAGCAGGGGAGTCTAACCGTGCTGGCTCCACTAGCTGCAATACACGTGGGGATTTAGGCTCAGGCTGCTTTCTCTGAGATGCAGGCTTTAGGCCCAGGGCCAGAGACTTGGTTTTTGGTGGGAAGGGTGTGGATGACCCGGAGTATCTTGAGTGGTGCTTTTGGTCTGTGACAGAGGGTGCCGTATCCTTATGAAGGTGACCTTCATTTAACAAAGCAGGACACACTCAGGATTTGGGTGAGTCCCGGTTGTCATTTCAAGCACTGCACGTGCACCTAGTTCTGTCCCTTCCATACACAGCTCCGGTAATGTCTCTGATCAAAACCAGAGTCTTTTCACAGAAGGTTTGAGAGTATATTACTCTGTGTACAAGGTGTTATCATAATACAGATTTATGTGAGTACTCTGATAAATATCGAAGAGATACTCTGTGCAGAAGATTGTTTAAAGGAGCCATAAGGCACACAAATAGAGCCAAGTTAGTTTCTTAATCACGAATGTGGCACCGTAAGAAGACTTTTGACATAGCAAGAGCCATGAAAGGAATTGGCTCTTGCGATCCAAGATTTGCTGTCTTTGGAACATCTGTTCTAAGTCCAAGTTACTGACCTGAGAAAAGGTAGTGGTCTCGGCTGACTGCTACGTCAGCTCCTCTCACCCGGCCCCATCCTACTCCCTTCCTGAAGCTTTGAGGGTGTTCCCAGCACGAAGGAGCCTGCAGCTGCTGGCTCCCGCTTTCCTGCCCTGCTCTGCTCCGAGCTTTTAGTTACCGCCTCCTCCCTTGTTACTCACACTGAGGTCTTAAAGCTTTGAAAAGTGAAAAGTGGTTTCTTTTCATAAAAAAAGGTGAAGGCTTCTCAGGTCTAGTAAACCTCTTTCTAGTGTTAGTGTCCTGCTCTGTCCCCAGGCTGGTACTGAGCGACACTGACTGATAGGTGACTCTGACACCTCCCAGTGTAGCCCCTACATTCAGCTGCTGGGCAGGCACCGTGCTTGTTTATCACGTTTGCTTGCTCCTGGGATCTCAAGTCCTGAATGTGTGACACTCAGGACAGGAAATGTTTGCTGGTGTGGACGTGGCCATGGTAAGTCCTGTGCGGCCAGAGATCCCAGGCTGAGGAGGCTCGTGTAGGTGCGATAGGCCATCTGGTGCAGCCCTGTTGAGAGGGACCCTTAGCTGTGTTCCTGTCTTTGCCTAGGTCTGTCTTTCCAGAAGGGCTTTATTTTCTGCCATTCCCGACTGCCTCTGTCAGCATCTACATCTTGTAATGTTTGACTCTTCGGAGGCTCAGCTGGTGTCCTTCCCGAACAGGTGCAAAGACAACAGCGGTTGGAAGGCCCTGGGGAACACCTGAGTATCTAGGATCTTGGTTGAGAGTTTACCTTCTGTTTAATCTTTCTTTTCGTGATACTTGCGTAACTGAGAATCATCTACATTTCAAATGTAATCGAAATACGCACTAAATTACCAAAAGGCACCCCCTAAAATATGAACAGGTCAACTTCTCATTAAGCCTCCTGGGTAGAAACAAGGCTTTTCTTACTGAAAATCATCTGGTCAAAACTTCCCTTTTAAAAAATGAGGGAACCATCACCCAGAGAAGCGAGATGACTCAGTCTAGGGGACATGGCTTGTTGGTGACATAGCTGGGAGGTCAACTCTGGCTTCTTGACTTCTAGATTTTGTATGATACCATACTGGGCCGCCAACCAATCAGTTAGTGAGTAATGGAGTCCCAGATATGCAGCTGGGGTTCTCCAATAGGCCCCTCCGCTTTCCTCTACCCCACGGTACAAGTTAAGCAGAGAGCGTCGCACCTGAGCAGCCTTCTTACTCAGCTCAACGGCAATGTCCGAGGCCGAGTTTCCTATTCCAATCACCAGGATGCGTTTCCCCTCAAATCCATCTGGGTGCTTGTATTGGCGGCTATGGAAATATTGGCCTCTGAACCTCTCAATACCTGCAGGGAGAAGAGGAGAGAAGGCTATGAACGTCTGAGCAACTATGTTAAGCTAATTTAAATAAAACTGCATTGTCAGCTTTTCCTCTCTGGAGTCAATCATTTGTTTTGCTTCTTTCCCTCTTATAAGAGTCACAGTAGCAAGGCCAATTGGCAAACTCAAAGTATAAAACAAATAAGAAACGTTAGGTACTGTGCATACAGAACAGGACCAAAGGAGTCGATTTCAGAGGCTGCAGCCCACGTGTTTATCAGAGACAAACAAACGGTGACGAATACAGCAGAGTCACACGCTGGCTGCTGACTACCCATTATACTATTTTGGACTGTATGATGACACTTTAATATCACATAGCAGATATTCTTCTAAATATTTCTTAACTACATTAAGAAGTGCTATTATTGCAATTGTACAATAATTAGAATAATATTTAGCATTCTTATTTTGCAAAAGCAAACAAAAACTAAAATAAACTAAAAACCAGACGTATAGGGGTTGAGGGATGGTTTCCATGTTGCAGTAAGTCAGGGACTTGCTGGTGGTTAATTGCAGACAAGCCTCTCTGTGTCCTTTCCTAGTTACTACTTTTACATTTCCCATCGATGGTGCAGTTGCTTGAAAGAGTCTTTAAATTATCGGTTCTTAAAGTGTAGTCCCTTGGCCAGCAACATCAGCATCATCTAGGAACTTGTTAGAAATGCAAATTTTCAGCCTCATGCCAGACCTACTCTCTTAGTCCATTTCCTATTGCTTTTAACAGAATATCTGAAACTGGGTGTTTTATAAGGAAAGGAATTTATTTCTTATAGTTATGGAAGCTGAGAAGTCCCAGGTTGAAGGGCTGCATCTGGTGAGAGCCTTCTTGCTGGTGGGGACGCCCCGAAGGGTCCCGAGGCCATGCAGGGTATCACACGGTGAGGGGGCTGATGTGCTGACGTGCTATGCTCAGGTCTCTCTTCGTTTTCTTATACAACTGCCAG